GTCTTCAACAAAATGAAGCCACAGAGCCCTATAAAGGTAATAAGGTAAAGAAAGTCTTATATGAATTGAAGTGCTTTTAATTACAAGAAGCAGAAAATTCAATCCAAAATTACTAAGAAAAAAAGTTATTATTGGTTTGGTGTAGACCCCAGAGCTATGTGCAACCTTTCATATGGAATGGGAAATAGAAATAAAATTCAGTTCCCCCAAAATTTCAACTATTAGCTTTCAAGCTCTTCTCATAATGGGTCAGACCTAGTCATTTACCCAACCCTGAACTACTTGGTGTCTGGGATTTGGAATTCAGATAACCAAGATTTTTTGTTCTAAGTTATTTTTCTATTATTTTGTTATTTATCGACAGTGACTCAGTGAATAAAACCAATCACAATAGTAGAGAGATTATATTAGTATATTTAGTAAATCTATATAGTCAACTATTAATCTCAAATACATTTCATCTAAATTAAGAAAAGAAAGGAAAGGAAAGTAGCATTTATTAGCTGTCAGACGCAGATAGTTTTACATTCCTCATTATCCTCATTTTATTGATTAGGAAATATGAGGCACCAAAATACATGATTTTCTCTAATGATTTTAACATAGTAAAGTGTGGTTTTTGTTTTATTTATTTATTTTTTAAAAACTATGATTTGATAGGTAGGTAAAGCCTACCTATCATCTTCACCTATCAGTGAAGAAAGGAAAAGACACCCACAGTTATCAAATGCCTACCTAGTCTGCACTTGGCTTTAAGCAAGGCAAATACACTTAATATTTTATTCTTCCAATTACACAGGAAAAGAAATCAAGACTTTGGCAGATTCAGTAATGTGCTCAAAGCTGCATGTCTGTGCACAAAGGAGCAAAAAGCCAAAGACAGGTATTTCTGACTCTAAAGACCATTTTTACCTCACTATACCATGCCAACTTGGCTATTTGGTAGGTATGTGTATGAGAGCTAGCTTATGAGCAATTGGGAATATCCATTTGCAAAAATGCAAAGCACTAAAGCACAACTGAAGACAAGTACACAGGAGCATGTGATGTTCTTCTCTTTCTGTCAATTGGGTGTTCCAAGGGCAGTTGAGAATTTCCAAGAAAGAAGTTTAGAAAATATTATACAGTTTTTATTTTCCCCAAATAAATATATAAACTACAAAGTAGTACATAAAGTATACATCCTGTAGGCAAGTGTATTCTCCCTTCTGTTCTTTCGCTTTCTGATTTAATATCTTATGGTTGGCTTGGCCAATGTCTGATATAAACATTATCACACATAGTCCTCTGTGTAAAATGCATATTTATGAGCTTGAGCTGTTATCAAAGTGTATTAGTTATGAATCAAGAATTTCAGTTTTTCTATCCATTTAATTAATACATATAACCCACAGTTCTTCTGCTGGCTTTTGCAGAGAAAGGGCTTTCTGTGAAACTAATCATACCTGTAACTCTTACTAAAGTCACTCTTAATCTCTCAAGTGTTGTAAACAATTTATCAGCTCAGCATTCTGAGTCTTTTATCAAGATTCTGGTGTCAGTAACTTGGAGAATTCCTTCAGTCTTTCAACCTGACAGCTCCTATCTCTATGGCTACAAATATGTCAGTATAAAAATGATTGCATGTTCAGAACAAATATCCTAGAAACTTTTCACAGACCTTATCTTGTTAAAAAAAAAAAAAACTACTTCAACTAAATTCTGAAAATCAGCATTTGTTTGTTTTTTTTTAAAGACTTCTCTTTGTGATTTGTCTTCCCCTCCCCCCTTTAATCTATTAGCATTTTGTTTACAGAGAACAGCATGCAATATTCAGGTTTTCTGGTAGGAATCTTAATAAATAGTTTATGGATTGCTCAAATTCTTTAGGTTTTGTTTCTTAAATTCCATGCAAAGCCACTCTCACCCAGCTATTTGACAAGCATTTTCAAATGTTGCTGCATAATATCAGGGCACACATCATGAAGGAAAATCTCTCCCTGTGAATTCCCCTGTAACAGCAATGCAGGATTTTTGGAATAAGAATTTATTCATCAGCTCTAATAACAGCCTCCAGAGGCTGTGTCAGAACAACTGATAAAGCAAGAAGCCTCTGGGTATTTCTTTTTAAATTATCCTCCCAGGATTCCACCACATCTTATTTTGCAAAAGTTAAAAAAGTAAAGTGAATAAGTAGGAAGGTCCAGGAGCAGGAGAGGGTGGAGATAAAAACAAGTGCACAGAAGAGGATAACCAACGTTGTCTTCTACTTCCCTCTGGTGGGAGTGTAAATTGAGGTGAGACCTTAGTGGTGCTCCTGATGAGTGGTCACTTTCTTCCTACTTATAGCTCTTAGTAAGTGACAAGCTTTGCTTTCAACCTAGAGAGCATGGCTATATTGGTTCCTATGAAGAATGATGGGAACACATGAGAAATCAACCATGGAAAGGGACGTTCCATAGGCACCAGACTTTGGTGGGATATAAAGGTTGATTCTCAAAGACTGACTTTCTAGATGACCTCACCAGTCTGTCTCTTTTGCCTAAGATATTCATTTTTAGGTCAGACAACATCTCTTCAGAGATATCCAAAGAATGGCCCTTAAGTTCTTCTGAATCATATTTTTCATGTGCTTTAAAATTCTTAAGTCCAATGTCATTAGGTAAGACATGTACTCTTGGTCAGCACAGACCTCAGTGTTCCAATCTCTGTATATCAGCAAGTCCCACATTCCCATTACCTTCCTGGCCCTTACAGGCATTTAGGTTTACCCCTCCTCCTCATTTTGGTCATAGTATCCTTTCTTGAAAGTAATGTTTTTTATGTGACTATCTTATCCCAACTCCTCAGAAACCACTAATTCACATGCTTTCTCCTTTGGGATGTATTCATCCATCACTGATGAGCCTGCTTTGTACCACCAGACACACTCTGCTAGATCCTTCAGAATATACAAATGTGTCTGGGACATTACCTGTGGAAGTCTAGAATTCAGTAGGAGAGGCAAATATGCTGGATTCTACAAAAATGTGGCAACTGAACGGCCATCACTAGATAGGGAGAAGGAGATTGGAGGAATTTGCTGAGGAGTGTCTGGAGTCTGCAGAATCCATTTTTGTCATTGACGTTTCAATTCAGCTTAGCAAAATTGCCACGTGAGATGAAGGCTGAATGTACTTCTCCCTGACTGCTTCAATCTGTAAAAGGTTAAAAACTGTAAGTTAATTGAGCATCTCCTAGGGGAATTGATGATGTAAAACTTAAACATGTTATCTGCCATCTCTGAATTTCTAGAATTTTATACAATTCAATTTTCAGGCTACAACATCTTGAACCAAAATGTCAAGGGTGAGCCTTTTCTGAATACAAATTTCAGTTTGTTTTTTCTTGCCTGAATATTTTAGTCAGCACTACCCAGTAGAAATATAACAGGGTCATAGATATAATCTCAAATTTCCTAGTAGTCACATTAAAAAGAGTTAGAAGACTCAGGTAAAGTTAGCTTTAACAATAAGGCTTATTTAAATTAATGCATGAAAATATTATTATTTGAACATCAAGGTATATGAAAGGATATTATGGAGATATTTTAATGTACTTTTCATACTATGTCTTTGAAATCTGGTGGGTACTTTTTGCTCAGGGCACATCTTCATTCAGACTAGCCTCATTTCAAGCATTCAGCAACTACACATGGCTAGTTAGCACTATGTTGTTTGCCAAAGCAGTTCCCAAACATCCTTAGAGCTTCTTCAAATATCTTGGAGATGCATGTGTATTAAGCAAGAAAATTGTTAGTCATAAATAACCCAGCTGCTTTATTCCTCCAATGATTGAGATTTTGGAGACAAAATGTTTGTTAGCTGATTGGTATTTTTATTGAAGTAGAAAATTACTTGCAGTGGTTCTTTCTTAATCATGGCTATTTAATTCAGCATGAACTTACTTCAGAAGACATTGTCATTTTCATAATTAAAGAAAACTCCCAAGGTGAGTAGCAATTTATTTTTCTCAATTATATGTAAACATACAAAATATAATATTTTAACTTAAAGAAAACCCTTTGGTATAATGGAATGTCTACTTAGATTTTACTTTATAAACTCCTTCACCTGCAAGGCATAGTGCGCTCCATTAAATAATAAGCCCCTGTAGGTTTTCTTTCTAGTGTCAGGATTATTATCAATTGCTTATTCATCAACTAGGTGTCATAAAGATTGATCCGAATTTGTGGACAATGTCTCAATAATAGGCTTATGAACTTTTCTTGGCTGCATTTTATTTTCCTGATTATGGACCTTCAGTCTTTACTCCTGTACTGTCTGTGTACTTGGCTTTTATCAGTTCACACCACTGAATGCTTTATAGCTCCCTTAAAAAAGAAGTATATTTAGAAAAGTCCTGTGGGTTCTTTATTTAGAGGCCGAAATTTGGCCTCTGGACACATAAAATATTAATAACTCTTCAACTAGTCACAAAGTTTAGACCTCAAATGTGTCAGACACAGTTATGTTAACAAATCTGTCTCTACCTCCCTTTGGTGCAATTTCACTTAGTCATCCTCCTTAATGTACTGTCTCCAAACCATTACAACTGAGTGCTAGGGAGGTGACCAGCTGTTCCACACATGAGCTTAAAGAACAGCTGCTTTCTGGAAAGTATCATATACAAAGCTGTGGTCTGTGATGTAAAAATTCCAACTCATTTAATCCACACCAAAAGCTTAGGAGAAGAGTAGCATTACTTTATTTTGACAAATTAGGAAACTGAGTCACAGAAATGCTAAGTGACAGTGGATGCTAAGTAAGTGGATAAGGACCCAGGCATTCTGGCTCCAGAGGCTGTGCTCCTAAATGCTTACCCTATACTACCCTTCCCACTAATACATGTTAAAAAATTCACATTATTTCTGTATCTCTTTTTGTTGAGGTTAAATGGAACAGAGGACTCCATAAGTGCATGAAACACACAGGAAACATTTTATTAGTTTTTAAATGGAGAAAAAGGCAGAGTAAAATATTTCAATAAAAGTCCATGACTCTCCTCAAAGATCCCACTCTGGCATTCACGGCTCCCCAGTCTTGGTAGCGCCTGTACTCCCCAGGCCTCAGCAGGTACTGCCGCCCCCGATAATTGGGCATCTCATAGAGGACCCAATACCCCTCCAGCACCTGGAAGGAGTGAATGTCACTGAAGTGGAAGCGATCTTGGAGACAGGGGCAGTCCTCGGTGATCTCCACCATCTGGCCTCTGTAGTCCTCTCGCTCATAGATCCTGATCCTGTGGGAACTGGCCTGTGGATCCAACAAGCAGCACACAAGTGGATGTCAGAAAACCACACCTTATTTAGCAATTGATCATATGCTTCCCTGGGGAATAGGCATTTTTTCTTTATTTTTCTATACCAAAGGTGATCAAATTAAAAAAGAACTGCCAATACCAGGACTACTGCATACAGTTGGGTAGGTTGTATGTATACTGTGAAACTCAGGAGGGCACCATCTACCATTCCTGAACCCAGAGATTTCTGGTATCACAATCTACACATTGGCCCACATTGATTAAGTGACAATTTTATGCATTTGTTTTGTTCTCTATTTCATAGACTTGTGGTGGTCTGAGGCTCTCTTTGAATGATATAAAAAGAACTAGATATTACAATAAAAATGTATCCTGGGAAATGCATAATTTTGGATTTCAGTTGTACTAGAAGAAGGTTAAGAGAGAAGTAACACTTGCTTTCCCACATGAGGCACAGGTTGGTGGCAATTCCGGGAAAGCTCAGCTCAGACAACCCCTCCATCCCTCTCTCTGTTTCAGGCCCTGCTGCCCTCAAGTGCTGGAGACCAAGAGCATCTTAAAGACAGATTCAATTCTCAGCTGGAACATGTGCTCCAGCAAATCAGTTTCAGGTAATACCCAAACTGGAAGTTCAAGCTCAGGAAGGAGGACTGAACAGCAATCAAGAATGTAAACCCTTAGCACAATGGAAAGTCAGGCTGCTTGGCCTGAACAAACCCTCTCATCTGGGGTGCTGGCTCTCCTGGCCTCTGCTTGCTCCTTCCCAGCAGGTAGCTGCTGTGGCAGTGTCTTTCTTTTTCCACCATCACAACATCTATAGGAAGGAGTCTCACAGCAGGTCAGTATGAGTGTGGCTTCATTTGGGCAACAGTGGGCTCTCAGGAACTCTTAGAATCTCACTGCAGGTTCCTTGTTTTGGGGACTTTTTTTTGCCTCCTCAAAAGGCGGCCTGGAAAGACCCTTGCTGTTCATAGTACTAGTTAGCACTTGGGGAGGGGTGGTTTGGCACGTGTCAGGTAACCTCCTTTCGCCCTCACAACAACTCTAAGCGCTGTCATTATCCACATTGCACAGGTGAAGAAAGTGAGAAACAGGTGGCTTAAGATCACCTGACAGCAGTTACCTGTTGCCCACTCATCCCCTGTGCTTCATATGCTCAGAGCTAAACCATACGCTGCTTATTCCCAGCAGAGGTGAATTTGATTCAGCAAAGTAAAATAAAATGTCCGGTTAAAAGCTTTGCACACGCACTTTTTCAGTGGGAGGAACCCTTCCACTGAAATGTTAATAGACCAGGAGAGAATGTAGTTAGAGGCAGAAAGAAGGCGGCGGTCACCGCAGCCCTTAGCCCCTGGTGTGAACATTGGTGAGACCCAGGGCCCAGAGGGGGCATGGAGGGGACTCACATAGGGGATGAGGCGGCAGGAGCGGATGGAGTCGCTGAGGCCCATCCACTGCTGGTAGTCGGGGTAGTCCCCGCGCCGCAGGAAGTACTGGCAGCCCGAGTAGTTGGGCTGCTCATAGAGCATCCAGCAGCCGCTGTCCACGCGCACCGAGTTGCAGCGGCTGAAGTAGGGCTGCAGGTTGGCGTGGTCGCTGCTGCACTCGTAGTGGCGGCCCTGGAAGCCGCGGTCCTCGTAGAAGGTGATCTGCAAGGCAAGGCGAGGCGAGGCGCAGGCTCAGAGGCCGGAGCCGGGCCCGGGCCCCCGTGGGCAGGGTCCCTCCCCGGTCCCAGGTCCCTGGTCCGCGGTCCGGGTCTCCGGGCCGGGCGCCCGCTGCGCTCACCTTCCCCATGGCTGATGGAGGTGGATGTGCGGTGGAGTGCGGGCCGCAGCGCGCGGTCTATATAGCGGGAGGGCTGCTGCGTTGGCAGGAACAGCACAAAGGGGCCCGCGGGGGCAGGAGCGCGCCTCCCTCTCTCTTTCTATAGAATGACCATGGGGTGCGGGGTTATTGTAGGTTTTCTCTTAGACACGCCAGAGCTTTCGAACTGATGACCTGGTTAAAAACTGTCAATTGCTGCTCGGGCCTTTAAATGAAGCCTATTCGAGCCTTTAAATGAAGCCTATTCGAGAAGCTGGAATAGAGCAAAAATGCTTAACGAGTTAACCATTGTAATTAAATGGTTTGACTACTTTTCTAAAATTTCAAAATAATGTCCTTTTGAGTAACAATGCAGAGTAGTGACCAAGTCTTTTGGTCAGAAGGGCTGCTGCACGAGGGGTTCAGATTAGAGAGCTTTTTTCCATGTGAAAATGTGGACCATGGGGATGAATTTAGCTTCTCCATAGGGATGGAGTTTTCCTTTAAGAAAACTTTCCTAGACCCTGGGTGTCTAAAAGTAGAGGATCAGATAACAAATGGGAGGTGGGGCCAGGAAGATGGACCCAAGGAAGCCCTGGTTTAAGCTGCATTATTGTGGTGGTTTGTTCAGTGTGTTTGGGGAACTGCAGAATTTTCTTAGAAATACACTAGGGCCACTCAGAGTGCAAGTTGGAAGGAGACCGGAATATTACTGATCTACTCCCAGCCTCGACCAGAGCATTTTTAATTTTATGTGTTTTTATACAAAATCTTATTTCAAAATAAGGTTTTACTACTTCTTAACAACTTCCTAAACTAAATATATGAAACCATTGTTGTTAGGCATTGCGCTTCTCACAATACTTTTCAAAATACTAATGCGTTATCTGTTAACTACAGTACATAGTGAAATTGTCACCTTTTTGCCTGTCAGTGTGCATGAGTTTCGTGGGACAGCTAGCTATTTCTCAGTGAAAAGAAAGATCATTTGTTTTGGCATATATTAAATTGTACATAGTAAGGGATTCATTGTGATGTTTTCACACATGAATATAGTGTGCTTTGGTCATATTCACCCCCTCTATTATTCTTTCTTATGCCCACACCCCTTTTCTCTTTCCCATGCCCACACCCCTTTTCTCTTTCCCTTCCACCTTCCTGGTAGTCCTGCTTTTATTTTCATGACTTGATTTTTTGTTTTGTTTTGTTTTGTTTTACTCTCCCTTAGCTTGACAAATGGGAGAAAACATGCGATACTGTCTTTGTGAGTTTGGCTTATTTTACTTAACATCATGATTTCCAGTTCCATCCATTTTCCAACAAATGACAATTTCATTCTTCTAAGTAAAACTCCACTGTGTGTATATGCCACATTTTCTTCATCCATCTGTCAGTGAGCATGGAGGCTGATTTCATAGTCGGCTATTAGGAATAGTGCTGAGATGAACATGGGTATGCTGGTATTTCTATTGTAATCTGACTTTGAGTTTTGGGGAGTATATACCCAAGAATGGTATAGAAGTTCCATTCTTAAACTTCTGAGGCATTTCCATAGTGGCTGAACTAATTTACATTCTCATCAACAGTATATAAGGGTTTCTTTTTCCCACAGCCTCACCAGAATTTGCTGTTGCTCATTTTCTTGGAAAGATAATTGTACAAATGTAAGTATAGAAAGACAGACAGGTCTAATAAGTTTCCTGGAAAATCATGGTCTTGACAACATACGATAGGAGACAAGAATAAGAGGGATACCATTTGTAAGGCTCGGGACAACCAGATATTGAACCTGGTTGGGCCTATGAACCTGAGTCCAGGAAAAACTCTGAGATGTGCTAAAAAAAGACTGACAAGTTCAGTCTTTTCTAGGTGCTGATTTCAATTTGGGGTGCTGTATTAAAGGTTTCTAAATAGTTTTTTCTGGTCATTATTTGAAGATTAGTGCAGAAAACATTGATTTATTTTTAAAAATCATTTTTTAAATAAAATTAGTAATGACACTTTTGAAATTTCAGCTGTACTATCAATCTCCTGGACCATAAAGCTTTGTGCTAAGCAGATTTCTTTTTAAGTAAGCCTTTCCAGGAGAGTGAACATCACTTTATACGTTAGTTAGCAATTTCTTTCCCAAGCGCTGGGGGTTGAATCCAGGCTCAGGCATGTGCTCTACCACTGAGCTACATCCTCAGCCCTGCATACTAGTTAGGAAATCATGAGGAAAGGTTATTTTTATGTGTGAATAAAAGAAGACAAATAGTATAAGAGACATTGGGCACAGATGTTAGCAGAAATATGATCTTTTTTCATCCTTTTTTTCCCAAAAACATGACTAAAGAACTTATGCTTTTCCTTTAAGCACTTTGGAGAAAGAAAAAAAATCAGTCTTTTAGAAAATAAGGATAGGCATAATGAAGATTGGAGCTACTGTCAAATAATGGGTGCATTACTAAGTATTTTGTTGATAAGAGAATATAAAAAACTTGAATCTCCAGGGTTTTGCCAGGTTTTCTCCTAAAGGCTTATAGCATATTTTCCCAAAGTGATTTGACAAACCTATTTTTTCCAGCTCAGTGTTTTATTATTTGAATGTTTTGATCAATGTGGAAGCTAGCCATTCCCAATATATGATTCTAATAATGAATTTCTTGGTTTCTATATTCCTCCCTGAAATATTTTAAGGCATCCTGAGAATGAAATATTTAAAACCAAACATTACATTTTTACTGGAAGTCATGTTATACAATGAGATTCTGTAACTGAATTTGTCTCATTAAGCAGCAGCTGCAATTCCCTAACCCTGATCACAGAGAAGTACCAACATTCTCAAAGGAGACAGGTAGCCAACTAAAGCTCCATGTTTTAGCATGGAGCATTAATCATCTAAGCCAAAAGAAATAACTAGGCCCATCACAAATATCTCCTATTAGACCCTTACAATCCATTTTTGTATTTAGTATTTTGTATTTAGTATTTGTATTTAGTTAAAAGAACTATTTTCTTTTAGTAAATTTGTGGCATTCATAATAATATCAGAAAATAGTTTAAAGGCAATTCATTGTTAAATTAGTTTGTGACAACAGGTGTGAAATATAGACTATACCAAATATGTGGACTGATGTTCAGCATTAGTCCTTCAGTTTCACTTGCTGAAATAGATGCTAAAAACAAAGTAAGATTTCCAGTTTCAAGGACATAAGAGGAAAAAAGAGATATATTACATCACATGGATTTTAAGAAATTCAAATTTTGAATTATATCTATAATATCTATATTTACTTTAAAAAGCTCTAAAAATGGTGAGAAGGAAATACAGTTAACATTGAAAAGTTAAGATTTTATTTTCTATTTTAAAATTACCATATTTTTTGAGACAAAGGAATTAAAATGTAAAACATTTTAAGTATATGGTTTAAAATAATTCAGTAAAACCAACAAAAGAAAATTAAAAAAAAACCTCAGTGAACATGATTAGGCATTTTGTTGTTGTTGTTGTTGGAAAAACTTTAGTCCATACTTTTCTTTTCCAAGTAGTCACTAACAATTGAACTAGAAATTACAGCAAATTTCTGACTAAACTAAGTTAATCAGGGCCTATAGAGATAAAGTGCAAGCAAATAAGGCACAAGATCACAGCTTACTTTTTTGCTCTCCATTTCTTTGTGCTGCTGGCACCCAAGTCTTAAGAAGTATCCTCTCTAACAAAATATAGCAAGAAAATCTAAGAATATTTTATCCTAGAGCAAATGTCTGTCAGTGTTTTTTTCTCTGAGTCCTTTTATAAATCAGTACTAAGTTATGTAAACTGTCTCAATAAAAGTGCTGTTTCCCATCCAAGTACAACAGTAACATTGAATGTCAATGGACTCCACTCCCCCATTGAAAGACACCTTCGGCAAACTGGATTAAAAAGGAAGATCTGGCAATCTTTTGTTTACAAGAGACCCAATTTATTGACAGAAACAAACACTTGCTTAGGGTGAAAGGCTGGAAGAGGATTTACCAAGTTAACAGCCCCTGAAAACAGAAGGATTGGCAATACTTATTTCAGAGAAGACTTCAAACTTACATTAGTCAAATGAGACAAAGGCAGTCACTTCATAAGGGGCAATACATCAAAAGGATATAATAATTATCAATCTATATGCACCCAATGTCAGTGCACCCAACTTCATCAAGCATACACTAAAGGACTTAAAAGCACATATAGACTCCAACATAGTTTAGTGGCAGACTTTAATACCCCTCTATCACCAATAAGTAGGTCATCCAGACAAAAAATCAACAAAGAAATCCTAGAACTAAATGGCACCATAGATTAAAATGGACCTAAGTGATTCCACAGAGTATTTCACTCTGCAACAGTGTAATATGCATTCTTCTCAGCAGCCCATGGAACTTCCCACAAAATAGACCATATCGTAGGGCACAAAGCAAGCCTCAACAAATATAAGAAAATTGGAATAGCCCCCTGCATAGTATCAGACAACAATGAAATAAAACTAGAATTCAACAACAAAAGCAGCAGCAGAAAATGCACAAACAATTGGAGGCTGAACAACACATTTCTCAATGATCAGTGGGTCATAGTAGAAATGAGAGGAAATAAAAAAGTTCCTGGAATTTAATGACAATAAAAATCCAACCTATGAGAACCTATGGAACACAGCAAAGGCAGCCCTAAGAGGAAAGTTTATAACAATGAGTGCATATATTAAAAATACAGAAAGTTCTCAATAAATGGACCTAATACTATATTTCAAACTCTTAGGAAAATAAGTTAAACCCAAAACAAGCAGAAGGAGAGAAATGATAAAAATAAGGGCCAAAATTGATAAAATTGAGATCAAGAAAGCCAAACAAAGAATCAAAGAAACAAAAATCTGGTTCTTTTAAAAAAAACAAGATTGACAAGCCCCTGGCAAATGTGACCTAATTGAGGAGGGAGAAGACCCAAATTAGCAAAATCAGAAATGAAAAAGGGGAGATAACAA